CCCTGAATAAACATCTATTCGGCTTATTTGTTTATCCTGATCCTTATTTACCGCAATACACCTGTGTGGTATGAAAGGCCTTCCCCCCCCCCATCACCCTCCCCAAGACCCCAGACCGTGATCAATCTTCCCTGGCACTGCCTTCTCCTCTCTGCTGTCTACGATGACTTGTTTCTCTTGACTACAAACCCTTGGTTTAGGGACAGCCTTTGCTCCTCTGCCTAGACTTTAGACTTGGGGTAGTTTTCTTATTTTGGCATCTTCTTGGGTCCCTTCTGTTCCAGCCACTGCCTGCCTCATCCCAACCATTCCACAGGCTGTGTGAGTCCCCAGGTCATCTCTACACCCCCTTTTCACTGTTCCTTGTATTGTGCCTCTATTTTCTGCTTTGATTATCACAAGCATTTCTCAGCCAGTCCCTCCTACTTCTAGTCTGCCCAGCTCTAACCTATGCTTTCCATAGGTGCTAGATTCACAGGTTTAAATATGTATGTCTAATCAGACTTCCTATGTAAAATTCTGTCATTGCTTCTGCATTCTGGGTGGTGTAGTATCCAAATTCTTAACACATGACTTATGGCCCTGTGGGATTTGGCCTCTTCCCCAAACTCACAGACCTCCTCCTCTGGCTCTTTGCCATTGAACTGTACAAACATACTTAGTTTCCCAAGCATACCTTGTTCACTCTGTGACTCCATACAGACAAGACCCTTTGCCTATAATATTCTTCTCCCTCTTTTGGATAAACCTTGATTTTCCTTTTGTAACCAGCTTGAGGATAGAGGATAAGGCTCTTTCACTAAGTCTCTTGGGGTCTTCAAGAGAGTTCATTGCTCTCTGCTCTACCTGATCTTCCTCTCTGCCTCTGAAAATATCCTCTCCTAGTAGTTATCCTGAGCTTGGAGACCAAACCCTTGGACAGATATGTCTCATTCTTTTTTCTTTCATGTTTCTTGATTTGGGGGGGACGACAAGGCAGCCAATAGATGCTATTGAAGAAATAGATACAGCCATCCCAAGCTCTTTGACCCAGCTTCCCCTTCCTGGGACTCATACCCCAGCACAAGCTGATTTCTGAGTGTCTATGATCATTTCCCTCCAGGAGATTAAGATCCACCAGAACTGGAGCCTCTTGTGTTTGAGTGCCTATTCAGTGCTCTCTCAATAATGTTTGTGAATGAATGAATAGATTTCCCAAGTCCATATTAATCAGTAGAATTAGATTTACCTAAAATACCCTTCTCCAGAGGATATCACAGGCAGATAGGCTATCCAAATTTCATCCTAATTTCTAAAGTCCATTTCTCCATTGGCACTGACTTTTTAAAAAGGTAGAACAATGACTGACCGCCTGAATCCCAAATAGAAGACTGGAGCAGATGTGGCCTAGCGAACTTCTGATTATTGTGATGGTTATGGCTGGGCTAATTTCTGCCCCCTTTTAAGTCTGCTATGTTACAGTGCTGCTGGGTCATGTCTAATTGGCAAGTATAATTTCATATAGAGCAACCAGAGATAATATAGAGCATAGAGGTACTGAAGAGATGGCTCAGTGGTTAAGAGCACCTACTGCTCTTCCAAAAGTTCTGAGTTCAATTCCCAGCACCCATATGGCAGCTCACAACTGACTGATGTTGTCTCCTGCAGATTACATGAAAAGTACCCATATACATAAAATACATGAATAAATAAATGTTTAGAAAAATAGGCCATAAAAAGTGTCCTGGAATTAGAGCCCTAGGTTCTTGGTCCCACCCTTAACTCCACTGTGTGCTTAGCTGTGTGACCTAGAGTACAGATGCTCTGAGGCTGTGCTAACCTGGGAAATGTGGATCACAGTATTCACCCCTCTGATCATCAGAGAGCTGTTGTACCCTATCACTTCTTTCAAAGGATTTGGTGGTTTGTTGTGTTCTCATTGACTTACACTTGATTTTCATTGTAGTATACATTGGTCTAAGACAGTAGTTCTCAACCTTCCTAGTGCTATGACCCTTTAATACAGTTCCTCATGTTGTGGTGACCCCAACCATAAAAATACTTTCATTGCCAGCCACTTTATGACTGTAATTTTTGCTACTATTGTGAATCGTAATGGAAACATTTTTTTTGGTGACAGAGGCTTGTGGGGGGAGGCATGACTTGGTCTAGGAGCTTTTGACTCTAAGCCAAGAAGTGCCTGGTCTTTTGGGACAGTTGAGACAGTTTGTATTATAAAAGGTATTACCCACTGGTATGCTCACATCCAATGTCACTGACCTCAACCCTGGAGATATGCTGAAACTGATAGGGGACCTGGAGACCGTGGCAGTCATTTTAGGCAAATTCCTTTGATGAGAACTGAAGACCATCTTGGAGAGAATCACTATTCTTGGTCTTCTCAGTGGTTACCAATGTTCCTAAAAGCCAGCTGGATGGATATAGCTACAGTTGAGACAGATTTGGTTTCACAAGCAATAAACAGACAGTGTTTGCTCTTGGCTTCCAGTGGAATCTCTCCACAGAGTCACCACCACCATCCTGATCTGTCACACTACCGTCATCACACTCCTCCAACAGAGAATTAAGTATATTTTAGAAGATCCATACATAAAGAACTATCCATTTAGTGCTCACACACATCTTTACTGTCCATGGCTATTTAACAGGGAACAAATTGTTGCTGGTGTCTGAAAAACAGAGAAAAATCCAGAAGCTTACAGCAGCAGATGGTTCGACTCTTCCTTTAGCCCCTTTGAGCCAACTCTGTCCTGGGCTTAGTCTCTTTTCTCATAGCAATATATTTTTATCCAGGTTCTGTATTGCTTAATACAAGTAATTTAGACCTGTTGGATATGGATTCTTTTACTCAGCCTTTTTTTTTTCCAACCAGCGTTTCCAGGTGGTCTGAAAACTATGCTCAGGTTGAACCTGCAAAGACATTGTGGATCTCATTTTGTTTTTGAGCCAAGGAACATGCCTGGACTCATGGACTCAGAAGCACATGAAGTGGGACATGTTGAGAATTCTCTGACAGAAGAGAGCCTGAGTTGCCACTTTACACATAGACAGATGCCAAGTTTGCTTTCTAGTGAAGCTGAGTGACTAGTTGAGACCAAGAGTAAAAGCATCGCTGGTGAATATTGCAGCTTTCATTTGATCCTCCCTTCTGAAAGCCCCTATATTTTCACACCCACCCAGTGTGACCTATACTTCTGGGGACAGTACTGCAGAGGAAGAGCAAGTGATACTGAACGTCACCCTAGCAACCGCCAGCGAATCCCCCACAGAGTCCCCACCTCCATCCCGAACTGTCACACTACCCTCATCACACTCCTCCAGCAGCATCACCACTGGTCATCATCACAGCCACCATCATCACAACCACCACAGAAATCGGCTTATGGCCTCCCACTGCTGCCCATCACTCCCACTCTTATGTTTAGATCACATGACACTCTCTGCTTTATTTCACTTCCCAGCATTCTCTATGGTCAGCCAGCCTGTCCTGGGAAAGCACTGAACCGTTGGTCCTACTTTCCTGCTGAGTTAGCTTACAATACACCTTTCAAAATTTCATAGTCTGAAAAATAAGAAAATTAACCTTTGCCCCAGGGTTGATATACTGAATTAGTTAGCACAGGGAAATAGAATATATTGGCTTAGATAAACAAACAAGGTCTGGCATTATGTGATCAGCCATGGCTTCTGTGATCAGTATGATATCTCTAGGTCTGTTCAATTTCTAATATTAAATGGCCCCTAAGAAATCCACATCACCATCATCCTCTCAAACAGAGCAGTGTAGCATATTTGATGCAACACAATGCTGTTGGAGAAGAACATTGCAATGCTGTGACCTGGGGATACAACAAGAATTCCAGACGAGTTTACACATGCTTCATCTGGAATAACCAGGGCCATTTCCACCTCTTTATTTGCATGGACAAACCTTTCAGTCAATAGTCACAATCATCTGTTGAAACAAAAAGAACGCAACCCTCCACCAACTATGATGGAGAAGAGGAGAAATATGGCCTCGAGGAGTGCGTAGTGAAGTAGGGACTAAGGAAGTGGGTCCCAATTTTTTCCTAAAACGCTGAGGCCTTTCAAACAAAATCTTACCTGGAATGAAGCAGGGATGAGGCATCAGAATGACATTCTATTTCCTACTCCCAAATGAGGTTCCTGGAGCTGTGTGGAACCCCAGCCCTACACATACAGCGCAAACCACTGGATTAGAGAAATCTGGGTCCTAGGACAGGCTTATAGAAAAAAAGAGTCTGGAGCCAAGGAGATGACTTAGTTTAGCAGAAAGTCTCACTCCGCATGTGTAAGGATCTAAATTCTGACCCCAGAGTCCGTGTGAAAAGCCAGGTGTGGTAGCATGCCTGTGATTCCAGAAATGATGAGAAGGAAGGCGGGCACGGGTAGATAGATCCCTGGAACCTACTGACCAACTCATCTAGACTACATGGGACAAAGGTGGAAGGCACCTGAGGATAACACCCAAAGTTGTCTTCTGATTCTCCCCACCCCACCCCAAACATATGTGCTGTGCACATGCACACTTATATGTGATGCATGTATGTGTAAACATTCATTCACATGTATTACATAAAAATACAAAGACAGTTGTTTCTTGGCTGCTTCTGGGTATTTTGCTGTATAGGCATGCCATATCATGGCTTGTAGGGTTTATAACTGAGAAGCCTTCCACTCCCTGTCTATAGCAGATGAATTCACCAAATGACCTTCTTACCTCAGAGGCAAGCCTCATCCTTGTCTTCAACTGGACAAGATAGATTTGTTTGGAAATGATTTCAATTTATCTTCTTTGACGTGTGCCCCCCCCCCACCAATCCTTTCCCACCTACCTCTTATAACTAAGCTATAGTCTCACCCTAGATCATGGATCTCAAGCCCAGTTCTTCTCTGCTTGGCCTCCAGGTAGAAGGGATTCTGAGGGATCTTTCCATTTCATTACCATGTAGCTCATGGAGACGATACCCCAGACCCACCTATGCACACCACGTCCATGAAGCCATACATCCCATAGCAGATCTGGAAGAGGAGGTCTTGGCGTTGCCATTTTGCTGAGGGACTGAAGGTCGACCAGATGAGCCAAGAGATACTGGCGATGAGGAAGAGAGAACCCAAGATGGCAGCTGCGATCTGAACCTTCTCGATGACTGTCAGGGATATGGCCTGCCACTGAGGAGGAGAGAGTGACAGATTAGCTGCTTGAGTACTTGGACCCCATTCCCACAGTCTTACCTCTGCTCCAATAGCTCACTGGTATAGAATTTAAGTCGGGGCTTCTCTACTTGTAGTACAATGGACTGCTTTGCAGAATCATATTTTTGGTATAGAAGGAATCTGTGTCATATAAAATGATCAGAGGTTCTGGACTGGCATGGCTGAGGAGAAGACACACTTGACTTTCATAGACACAGAAATTCAAAGGCGAGAAGGAAAACAAAGAGCTAGTGTGGGTGTTGTTCCAAGGTGCCAGAATATTCCTTTCAGAGCAACACAGTTGTTTTTCTCACTAATAGGTGCCAAGAGGGCACAGGTCTTTCTTTGACTGTTTTATGTTGTTTCTACAACACCACTTCATGCCATTTAATTTGCTTGTTGGAGATCAACAATTTGACAGAGAAAGAGAGGACATGGCATGTGGGAGTAAGGAAAAAGAAAAACAGCTCACAATATACTGACTGTATTTTAACTCTTTCTTTTCCAAAGAAAAAAGTGTGTTTGTGGCAGTATTGAGATGGAGGCTGGAGTGTGGTTGAGTTTTGGCTATGGAATTTTATGATTATATATTTAGTCTATGGAGCAATGTCTTAAATTGGCCTGGAGTAGGATTTTAGTTTAGGCTCGCTTCATTTAACAAGTAAGTATTGACTATGTGTCTGGCTACTCTGCTAGGTGCTGGAGCTAAAGCATTAGACAAAACTGGACAAGACCCTTGCCTTATGGTACACATAACTCTAAGAATTTACATTTGCAGTCCATCATGGATCTCCCATCCTTCAGGGAACATTCCCAGGAACCATTGTGGCTTATACACAAAGCAAGGGCATAGTGCCTTCCACATGCCACCGGGGATCCCTCCCTCTGCCATCATTGGCTCAGTTAGGGTAGGCCAGTGGCCTCCTGAAGGAGACTCCCAAACAGTGGGGACTTCCTCCTGGACCCCAGATTAGGCACAAACCACACCAAAACCCTTGTTTTCATAGAGAGATCCTTTATTAAGTAGCGAAGAAAAGTTGAAGTGTCTGCTTTCTGACTCAGGGAGAAAACAGCAGCAAATGACCTTGCAGGGGTAAATTTTAAGAGAGGAAGAAGGGGAGGTCTCTGTTAGAACATGGCAGTAAAAGAGACAGGGGATGAGAAAGAAGGGGACAAGGGAAAGGGGCAGAGGCCTTTGTTCCAGAGCGACAAAGAATTGCTTCTGTATAGAGAGGAGACAAACATGGTATATAGGCAAATGGCAATTTATAAAGGTACAAGGGGAAACCCCATGTTAGGATGAGGTGTTTAATTTTAATTTGGCATGTTAATTAGGTGAACCAAAGGGGGCTTTGGATTGGTTGGCTTCAATACTTTGATAGCTAGACCTTGGCTGTGAGCCTCAGGAGGAGGAAGTGGCCAAATAAGGGATAGATCTTGGGAGCTAGTTAGGTATGCAATAGAATACTTTTTTAGCAAGACAAATGGAATAGGAGAGAAGGGCAAGGCCTGCCAGGGTCACACATTCCTTTCACCTCCAAGGAACAGTAAGCACTGGAAAACATTGCACTTTTAGTCCAGATGTAGGACATGGGCCTTAACGTTTAATTACACAGATAGCATCCCATTACAGAGAACTAGTCCTTTAAATTTTCCAGTACTTCCCCAGCCTAGGGTTACACACAACAAAGGCATTTTCCAGAAGACAGCCCTATCGTATAGACTTCCCTCATGTTCAATAAATGCTTTTTCCAGAGCCAATCCCCCACTGTCTAGAGGAGAGTTTCTAATGAGTTTTTCGTTTCTACTATATAGGCATCCCCACCTTTTCCTTCTGTCATTACCCCAATGATACAGAGACATAGAAAAGCCCTATTTATCCCAATGACCCTCCTTCCCACCTCAAGCCACCTAATGGGTGTGAGTGTGACAAAGAAGGCAAGAAAAAGCTGTTGTACACAAGAAACACTTTCTCATCCTGTAAGAGGCTCCATGGAAGTGTAACAGGAGGTGCCATAAGGAGAGAGCTGAGGAGCTGAGAGCCTGGAGATCTGACAGGAGAGAGGTCTTCGAGTGGAGAAGAGCATCAGTGGTACCAAGCCCCGCTGCCACCAACCACCCAGAACATCAGAATCTCATTCTTAGTGAGGTTCTGATCCCCAAATCCTACAACTTTCCCCCTTTGAACTCTAGTCCTATAGTACCAGGGGGTGAAGAGACAAGTGTAGAGTGCAAAGAGAAAATTTTGTCCCTTAAACCAGGAAGAGACAGCAAGTAAGGAGTCAGGGGACCTCGTTCTGATTGAGCTGTTTTCCCAAACTTATTGGGCGTGAACAAGAAGTTAATAAGTCATGATGACTGCCAATTTTCCCTTCTTTAATGACAGAAGTAACTGATGTCTATTTCTTAGAGTATTATGGGTGTTAAATGTGAAGCCAGGGCATAAAGGGCATTCCTTACTGTTTCAGTAAGACATGGATAAACTTGTCAGGGCAGGGGTAAGCCTGTGTATGTATGTGTACCTGGGTATTGTATTAGAGGACAGGTTCTGGGCTCAGGAATTCCTGTTGCAGACAGCAACCTGCTCCTCTGCTTCACAGCTGTGCAGTCTTGAGCATGTTCACAAATCCCTCCATGCTTCCATTGTCTAAACCTGTGCATTGAGTAATAATAGTCCTCACTTCATTGAGTTGTTTCCAGGACTGAATTTGATAATACATGTGAACTGACACTTAACAAGCAGAAATTGAATGTTTATTAACATATCATAGTCTTGCTTCACTTAAGAGAGATGCATTCCAAGCCCCCTGGAAGATCCGTGAAGCCTCAGAGAGTAGTGGATCTTATATCCAAGTACTGTGTTGACTCATGCCAATTGATCTGATGGTCAAGAAGGCTCCTAAGTAACCAATGGGTAATCTGCATATACAGCTTGGATGGATGAACAAAGGGATGACTCATATCCTGGGTAGGATGGAGCAGGAAGTTGTAACATTTTTTTCACCCCACTCAGAATAACACACAGTGAAAAGTTATTAATTCTTTCTAGAGTTTTCCTTTTAATATTTTTGGTGGCAGTTGGCCATGGTTAACTAAGGCCATGTGATGCTAGAATTAATGAAATTGCTATTCAGGCTGTGATTGTATAGTGGTTAGTACTCTGCATTGTGAAATTGCGATTCAGAGGTATCAAAAACAAGGTGGGAAGCAGTTGATGGAGTCTCGAGACCCACTAGACTATGACTCCTTTCTTAGTATGTATTCTAGATACAAACCTCACTAATATAATGTCCTGTAGTGAAGACTTGAATTATTTCTTACATCTTTGCTTGGGACACAAACCAGGAGGTGAGAGAGCCAAGATATATGGAAAGGTACCTCCCAGCTCTGATGGCAGGACCCTGGTCATTGCTCTGTTGGCTTTTAGTCAGGTCTGCCAGCTCCAACCTCTACTTCAGATAGTCCAGCTGGGCTATTTGCACAGAGGGTAACCACTGTGGCAGAAGAGGCAATTGTGTCACACTTAGCCAGGCCAGAGAAGCCCAGGACACACATTTGGAACAATTTAGGATACAACCAAACAGCACAGCTTCAAGTCTAAACTGTTTCTAGAGAGAAAAATGAACTGGCATTTACTGAGCGCACACCATTGCATTTCCAGGATCAACAGAAGCAGAGGGGTCCCCAGTGCCTAGAAACTCATAATTGAAGTCAGTGTAGTAACTTGGAAATAGATTAACAGACTGATATTGCCCACGCTGCCATTTGCTTACCTGACACAGACTTAAAATAACCTTTTTCTTTACACCAAGGAAAAAGCTATACCTGAATGATTTTTTTTCATTATATGAGTCAAAGGTGGAACCAAAATGGGGGTGTCTTTGGGTGAGTTCATAGATTTTAGATCTGACCTTTCCAGAAGTCTGAGTCAGCTATAAAGAAAGGGGCACATTAATGCCCTCAGACCTCCACTGCACCCTGAGGACATGGAATCAGCTGTTGCTTGGCACTGCTATTTTAAGGTGCCTCAGGATCTGAGGCGAATGGCTGAAGATGGAACAGCAGTTGGGAGGGGGCTCCCCCCCATCAAGAGGCTGAGGTACCTGGGAACCTGATGCTTCTCTCCCCTGAATTCCTGAGAGTTCCCTCATGGAGAATGATATAGGGAACTCCACAGGTTTTCCAGGTGATGTTCAATGCAAAGACCCTAGTACAATCACCCACTCCCAGCACTCCTGGATTTGCAAGGTTGACTCTGCCCCACTCACAGAGAAGTGTCAGGCATCTGTGGCCTCCGTTCTTACAGTCCTGCTGGCTAATTGATTACATGGCTGGCTAATTGATTACATGGCTGCTTGACCGATGACGTGTACATGGAGGTATTTTCAGAAGCCGAATGTGAGTATGTGTGGGGGTGGAGAGGGCATGTGTACTATCGTCACTGCTAAACTGTTTGATGTTCCAGCAACTGGGGTGAAGATGGCTACATCAGCAGAGGAAGAGAGAGAGGAGAGAGTGGGCAGAGAGAGCCCTGAGTTCCGCCAATCTGACTGACAGGTCCCTACTCCAGCTCTGGCCCTGCTTTCCGTGATCTCTCACGGTAGGCTTTTGTTACTCTGTCATGGTGGTTTCTCCTTCCTTGTTGCACACCCCCTCCTCCATTTTCTTTGCCCCTCTTTGCTGTTTTTTTCTCCATTCCTTTCCTCCCTGTCCCTTGTCACAAAAAGTGTGGTCTGTGGGCCAGCGGTAGTATCCCCCATAGCAGGCTCTCAGACCCTGCTGTAGACCAGTGAATTGAAATCCACTTGTTAAGACGCCAATAAATCACATTAAAGTCTGAATACCACCGAGCCGTCTGTCTACAGCTTCTTTCCAAACCCTTGGCTGTAACTCAAGCCTAACCTTTCCCACCATGCATCCCCAGTCACCTGCCTGTTCTATTCGTCTTCACTTTTCTCTTTTCTTCCCTTCCTCCCTCCTTCTTGTCTTTCTCTTCCTTCCTTTCCTCCTTTTCCCATTCCTTTCCTTTCTCATTAACTCATCTGTTACCTTACACCATCTCTTCCATCCATCTCCCCTGACCTCTTTCCTTGCGTGTCCTGTATGTTTCTCTTTGCCCACCTCCTCTCCTCCCCCCCCCCCCCCGTCTTGTCTAGACTTGAGGGGAAAGAACATCTTTCCTCCTCTTCTGACTGTGTGGCTCCCACTCACCAGGCTGCCCCAAATCTGAGGTTCAGTAATTCCCCTACTATAAAGCAGGTAACGAGGAAAGCCCAGACTGGGAAGCATGGATTTACCTGTAGAGGATTCTTTGTGCTTATGGCGATGACATGGTACTTGTAGTAACACAGCTCACAGCTCCAGCAGCCCCTTTCGCTGATCCACTTGATGAGACACGGCTGGTGGGTACATTTGACTGAACCGTCACAGCGGCATGGGCTTAGCAGCTCGCCCTGTGGAAGAAAAAGAGGGAATATGATGAGCCTAGAGCCTCAGTCCAGCAGGTGATGGATAGGTGGATGGATATGGAAACCCTGATCTGAGTCACGCTGATAGGTCAGATAAGGCCACTCCACCCAAGCCACAAGCTCTGTCTGGAGGCATCAGAGTTTACTAAAGAGGCCTGGGCTCCACTGTTCCTACCATAGAAGCCAAGCAGCTTTAGTCAGATAAACAACAGGTCTGAGACCTTCCTCCTACCTGGAAAGACACAAAACAAAGCTTCTTGATGTTGATGGGTGGTGGTGGCACATGCCTTTAATCCCAGTACTTGGGAAACAAAAGCAGGCAGTTCTCTGAGAGTTGGAGGCCATCCTGATCTACAGAGCACATTCCGGGATAGGTTCCAAAGCTACATAGAAAAATCCTGTCTCAAAAAACCACACAAACACAAACACACACACAAGACGACTTAAGATGTCGTGGAAGCCTTCTGTAGTTCAATGGTGGGTGGTAGGATCTACAAGTTTCTCTTAGGAAACTCAACCAAACTCAAATACCCACAGGGCTAGAGAGGTGACATAAATCTGCTGGTGGAGACAGGAGTGATTTGGATCCTACAGACCAAAACCAGGACAGTCTCCACATGTCCTGTGCTACACATGAGGAAATCTGATAGAATTTGTAGTTTTGGTAATGCTGGTGATTGAACCCAGGAACCCATACAGACACTCCCTAGTCCTATAGGAAATCTTTCTCTAAAACTTCTTAGTAGTCTGATTGTAAGAGTTTAAAAATGAGTCACACAGGTCACCTGGACTGAGTGTCACAATGTCTATTGGCTATAGAACTCTGAACTTGAGCCTTTGCGTTCCCTGAAAAGACACTGGCTTTCTCAATGATGCTTTCCAAGGTGGGTCCCTGAGTGGAAAAGAAATGTAGGTCAGGCCTGAATCCCTGGGATTTTGGAGGTTGGCCAATACCCTTGCCGAAGGCCTGGGTTGTTCTAGCCAATTATGGGGCAAAGGCAGAAGACCAGCTTAGGAGCATTGAAAGCTGGGAAACAAATCTGGCCAAGCTAGATGGTGTCAGGATGGGAAACCCCTGGTAACTGAGCAGCAGAGTGGCTTAGGCTCTAGAGCTCCCCGTGACACACCAGATAGCCATGATTGAAACCTGTGTCTCTCGTCACCTGATATGGTGGCCCCAAAGAACCTCTGTGAACCTCACCAGCTATTCTCCCCTCCCTCTCCTTCTCCCTCCCTCCCTTCCTTTCTCCCCTTCCCTCCCTCCTTCTCTGTCTCTTTCTCTCTCTCTGAGATGGGGATGTCCTGGAACTCTCTCTGTAGACCAGGATAGCCACAACTTGAAGAGATCCACCTGCCTTTGCCTCCCACACATTGGGATTAAAGGTCACCACCACCACTGCCGGGCTTCCATCTCCCTTCTTGCTCTCTCTTTCCTCACCTTCTTTCTCCTTCCCAGCTGCCTGTCCACCCTCTTTGACTCCGCTCTTCCACTCCCCTTCCTAGGGACCTTAACATCTGGACTCTGCTTCCCCTCTGATCTTACTCGGGGCCTTTGCTCTTGAGTCTTGCTCTTCCCTTGCTCTCCTTGCTTCCAGTCCAGGTCACTGGTTTTGGATAAGGCTGCTTGAGCCATTTCCATGCTTATTTGAATGTTTCATCATTTAGGAAATGATGCCTTCTTCTCAACCATGAATAAACAAGCCCAGGGTCTTCTGGCCTTGAAGTGTATCCATCTGTATCTTTGGTCATATTCTTTGCTGTAGACTATAGAACAAGCCATCTCCTTTTCATGCTTTCTGGAATCATCTTTCCCTTTCACTTCAACTCTTACACACAAAACCTTCATCTTGGCTTCTGTGAAGTCCTCAGTCTACCCTAAAGTGTCATTTTGGTTTTCAGCCAGTTCAAATGCACTTCCTGAAGGGAGTCATCTATGACTTTTCCTGAGAGGACTTTATGCTGAATGAATTTAGCATGTCACCCTTAGGGAACCTAACACATGACCACAAGGATCTAGTAGTGGACTTATCTGCCTTTCAAAGGACCCCTAGAAGGCAGGGGTGGGTGAAGATTCCATCTTTGTACACCCTTTCCCTGGTGCCAAGTCCCACAGTGGAAAGCACTTGGCAACCTTTTGTGTTTGAATAACTAAATGAAAAAAAAAAAAAAACTAAATGTCATCTTAGGATTTTGCATTACCCATTCTACACAAATAGCAACCATGCTCATCTTTTGTTTGTTTGTTTTTGGAAACAGGGTTTCTTTATGTAGCCCTGGCTGTCCTGAAACTAGCTCTGTGGACCAAGCTGGTCTAGAAATTGCAGGGATCTGCCTGCCTCTGCTTGCTGAATGCTTGGACTAAAGCTATGTGCCACCACCACCCAGGTCAACCATATTCATCTTATTAACCTGGTAATTTTTACAGTACCTGGAACTCCACACACCTGTGTGCAATGAATTTACTGGGTAGCAGAGATACTCAGGTATGCAGTGCCACAAAATATCACATAGTTCCCCACGCTCCTCCTCAGTCACAAATAGCTTCTCTTCGCTGTGGCCTTTCCCAACCTCATTTCATGGCACTTCCCCATTAGCCTCCAGGCCATTGCATTGTGACTCCCTCACAGGGCAGTATTTTGCACAAACATTACATCCCTACCACTTGGTACCATAAGACAACAATCTGACTTTGGCAGCTGATCATGGGCTTATCTTCGTGATGAACAAGAGGCTTTACTCCTGGACATAGCCAGTCTTGGGTTCTGTGATGCCTGGCAGCAAAGAGGAGACAGGAGTTGTGCGCGTTGCTGGCCATTTGGTCCACCTAGCAAACTCAAATTCCTGAGGTTCTGAGTATCTGTGCTATGGCTATGAGAAGGAAATGGGAGGGGTGAGCGGAGAGTGGTGCTGGGGGAGGGGCAAAGCCCTCGTTATTCATGGCAGTGTTTCCTAGGCTCATTAATTCTAACAGGATGAGCTAGGTTTGATTAATCGGGTTGTTAAACAGCCATGTCAAGTCACTGATCAGGTAAAAGGCATTACTTCCGGTGACTGGCAATGAAACTACGTGACATCAGCTGGCACCCCTTGTTTCCCAAGCAGCAGCTAGGAGAAAAGGTGTGAAAAGCTACTGGCTGGAAACAGCTGATAACAGGATTTAGGCTCTCCACCTTGGCTCTGTATGGGGACCATTAGCTCTTACTAGAGCTCTTTGAACAGTCACTTACCTATCTATAGAGGGAGGGTGCTTGGCCCAGCCTGGCCCCAGGGCCTGGCTCAGGAGCCAAGAGGCCAGAGCTGAAGTGTTTCTCTGAAGCAACTTGTCAATTCCCCGCATGCACACTAGACCCAAAAGGCAGATCGGGAATTCACTTCTAGCACTACAAGTATTAATTAGTAAACAGTAAACTCCTTTAAACATATTTATCGGATGAATAAAGCAATGCTAGATTTTTAAAAAAAAAAAAAAAGTCATCCAAGAAACTCTTTTAAAAATAGCATTTATGCAAGTGCTATGCTGATCACTTCTGGTTATGCCCATGTGTCTCAAGAGCAATAGGATAGAAATAACTGTCAGCAAAAATGGGATCATGGTAAACTTAATGATGATGTTTCTCACAGTAAACAGCAGTAGTAGCTAAAATGGGGGTGGGGCGGGGGCTAGAACAATAGCTCAGTTTAGTTGCTAAAGTACTTGTTGCTCAAGAATGAGGACCTGAAGTTTGCTCCCCAACACTGACATAAAAGGTTGGCCATAGTGGCGGATGCTTGAATACCCAGAGCTGGGAAGGCAGGAACAGGAGGGTCCTTGAGGCTCACTGCTCAGGTAGCCTCCAGGTCTCACTGAGAGGCTCTCTCAAAAGAAAGGTGTATTGTTTGGTGGTGGTGGCACACACCTTTAGTCCCAGGACTCAGGAGGCAGAGGCAGGTGGATCTCCATGAGTTTAATGCCAGCCTGGTTTACAGAGTGAATTCCAGGACAGCCAGGGCTACATAGAGAGACCGTGTCTTGAAAAGGAGGAGGAGGCAGGAGAGGAAGAAGGAGAAGGAGGAGGATGCAATGTCTTAGTCCATGTCACACAACCAGTCAGTGGCTTGTGGAAAATGAGAAGCCAGGCCTTTCTGACCAACATCAGCCTCTGAGCCTCACCACACCGAAGGCTGTGCTGTAAATCCTTCTGTCTCCTTCCCTGGAGGAGGGAGGGATATTTCTGGCCCACCTCAGGCTGCTCAGTCAAATCTCCCATGACAGCCGGCTGCAGCCCTGTCTCCTCTCCCTGCTTCATTACACACGGTCTGGTGCTGCGTCATTTTCAAATCCTCTGAGATTTAGAGGCTGATACCTAATCTCACTAATACCTCAGCAACTAGGCAGACTGGAGATACCCAGGGAAGGTGTGAACTACACAACTCAGGCTCCCGGGAGTGGGGAAGAACAAGGACTTCCATCCAAGCTCCCAGGGTTGGTTCCACCCTTTGGGATGAGTATAGTAAACTAAATGCTGAGTGCAGCAAACTCCAGTCGTCAAAGGGGTCGGACACTCCTCAGCGATCTCAGGGCTTTGGGACAAAGAAGAAACTGGCTCTCCAATCGGGGTGGGGTGGGTGGGGAGATGGGGGTGTTTGGGAGTAGCTAAGAAAATGCATTTTAGAAAACAAGCACGTTGGTTTTGAACGTTTCTTCACCCATAACTAGCTAAGCAAATGTAGGCAAGCCCCTGACCTTTCTGTTTATTTACTTTCCAAATGCAGGTGACTATCACCTCCTTAAAGGATCAAATGAGATGAAGTATGCAAAGGGTTTGACAGTCCCCAGCAGAAGCAAGCCCTTTTGCTAAATTTCAGTTTTAATCACATTTCTTTAAGACTTCAATTCAGGTTTTTTTGTTGTCTTTGGTTTTTATTGTTTTTTGTTTTTTCCTGTTACAATTCCATTTCCCTACTATGATGCTAAGGTCAGTCAAATAAGGAAGAACAGAGCAAGC